TATCCTTACCTGATGTATTCTCACAGAAGAATAATCTTGTAGCTTTCAGGCATAATATAATGCTGAAAAATTATCTCAAATGAAAAAAGCTTTAAAAACCTTCCCAGGTTTGAGGCTTGTTCCTAGTTTTGGAAACTTATTATTATAATCCTTTGGGATGAAAAGAAAAATATAAGGGATTGATCAAAGCAGAAAAAAAAAAAATTTTTTCTTTGCATATTACAATAATTAAATTTTGTAAAATTACAAATTATCAATTCTAAAATATTTCCAAGTACAAAATAAGTACTTTGATAAGCAATTGTGCATTTGGCACAATAAAGTACTCACTGCTGCATGATGTTCAGAGTCTGGACATTCAATGAATGCACATGCTCTCATGTACTGATACGATAATCCAGCAGAATTTCCATGCTGCTGACCTGGGTAGTGTTCTGCAACAAAATTATAGTCTTGCCACATTTTTATACAACATGCAGTTGTACCTTCTTGGTCCTTGAAATTCATTAATTATTTCAGTGATACATGGTCCACTTAAATGTTGAACTCCCTACTTTAGGAATAGTGGTTGTAATGTTTGAAAAATACTACAACTGCAAGCAGTTCTTTCTTTACCATACAGTAACTTACCAATATTCAGGAGCCAGATCCTTTGCAATAAAAAAATGAGTACCTTAAAAACATCTATACATTCTTATGTGCTCAGTAAAGGAAAGATGCCAATAAGCATTACTGATTCACCCAGCTGAAGTCCACATAGAACCTTGGCACTCATTCATTCTGAATATCACATCAATGGAGATAAACATACACTCTCTAAGGGTTGTATTATTCTGTTCTTCAACATTACCTCTGATGCTTCATGAAAGCCTGCACAGTTTTATTGGAAGCATGTTGCCTGTGTTTGACCCAAATGAATACATCAGCAAACTTCCAGAGCAATTCACTAATTCACATTTTTGTGTTGAGTTCAGATTGTTTGAATCACTCTCATCTAAAGAATTCAGATGCTCTGGAAGGTGCACATTCATTCATAAGCATGATACAGTAGCTTTTTGACTAGTTCGTATTTTATTCAGATATATTTTTCAAATTTTTGTGCAGGTGTTCTGAATGTAATTTGACATTTTTTTATCCAAATGTGGAAAAGTTGTAAATGTGTACTAATCCTTTTATTCGGATAAAGCTTGCATGTACCATCAATTAGTTTGCTGTTTGTTTACTGAATTTTGTGCAAAGCTATACAAACTGACTGAACATCCCAAAACTTAACAGTGGTCTCTTTGGGCCACCAAAGCATTCCTTAACAGGGCAAGTAAGCAAGGCACTGGTTTGAGTCACTTATGGGCAAGAAGAATTGTGAATTGTATATGATGGGTGAAGTTCATTGCAAAATGCTGTAACACTGTGTTGCAACTGAATGGATTTTGGAATCAGTCAGGAGCCTTGTAGATCAGTAAGACACACTGATAATACTCTAAGACCATGTCCAGTGGCTGAAGTCAATGTGTAGCCCTATATATCACATCATTACAATAATGCTCAATGCACTGTCATGTTATCCTACATAAGACTTTGCCCATTGATCTCACATTAATCAGGAATTACACATCTCCAGACTTATGAAGACCATGTCTGGCAGCTGAGTTCAATGCAGAATGTGATAACCATGCCTCTCCTTATACATGCCATTATTATGATGATGTGCAACTAAGCATTCTGCACAATACTTTGTCCAAGGATGCCACATTTGCAAGGGTGTGAGTGTACATCTCTGGTCTCATGGAAGATGAAAGACACCATTGAATAATAATGGCTTCTCAGCTACACTGTGTTGCAACTGATTGGATTTTGGAGGGCCCTATAAAAATTTGACATCTTATGTGGATAGTTAAAAGAGAATACATGGGAAGGCATTCCCAACTATGTCTACAACAGAATGTGATGAGATACTTATCAACAAGTTCAGTGAAGGGCTACTGAGCAAACAAATGTGGCATCAGATAGGACTGAGAGACTTTTTTCATGGAATCAATTTCTGTAGTGACATGGTTTGAAGTGGTCACATTGAACTGTGGCCTGAAGCATAAAAACTAGAAGCTGTAGCAACTGAAACTGTATAGTTGGTTCTGAGACAGCCTCCAGAGTCTGTGATGACTCCAAAGCTCAAATGAAATGTCAATCATCAGTTCTTGTGCAGCAAATGCCACAATGCACATGAGACACTGTCTTGTACTTGCAGACTGCACTAGATCTAATTGAGCACAGGTTTTGTAACCAATACTATTCTATATCTATAGATATTCAGCTTCCAACTGGAATAGGTATCGGTATAACAAATGCAGAAGTGACAAGCTAAATATATTTTAAGCTAGTTATAGAGAGGTGAAATTCCTAATTACTTCAATCACTACAACTATACAAACACCAACAGAATTTAAAACTTTTCACAGTGGTGAAATAATGGTCTCATACCAGCTTTCACAAACTAGTTGAATTATATTATTACAGTAATCATGCTATACTTTAGTATTTTAAAAGTCACAGTACTGACTTACAAACATGTTAATTGCTAAAATTTCATAAAATTAGAAATGCCCAATTAAAGGAACAATTATTAAAACTTTTTGACTCCTTGTACAAAGATGGATAATAATAACAATAGTATAGGCAAGATATTCCTCAACTGCAGGTTGTAACCCAATGAGCATTTATGAGAGGGTACAATGAGGGATTGCAAAAAAGTTGGACAAATTAAACAAATTTATTTGATATTGTTTTGTAAATAGTAATATTTTCTCAAATTCTTAAAGCTACACAAATCCATCCCTAATTTTGAGCTAATACAATTGAGGGAAGGAAGCTGGTCTACAACACCTACTGTCAACTACTCTTGTTTGACTGAATACTGAAATTTGACTATCACTCTTATAGTACACCAAGAATCCCAAAGTATGGAGTGCATTTCTGCAGTAGTGGAATATGAACCATAAATACTAATATTCACCTGTAATAGACACACTAGCCACCAGCTATATCTGGCAGTTCTTTGTAGTATTCTAGATGTTTCCTGATGGAAAGTTTTAGTCATGGAATTATTTAAAAATAAACTGTATGCAAATAACTATAATATTCTACTAGTCTTTTTTTTTCTTATTAGTAGTTATTCTCTGTTCATAGTTACCTGACAAATAGGGGACTTGAATGTTCACAAAAAGACAGAAAACGTTTGAAAACCCCTGGTGTAGACCCAATTTCATTTCATTTCTCAAAGCAATAATAATACCACTGCTATGTTGTGGAGAAATAGCTTTGCAGCTTTTCAAAGCATTTTCACCTGAAAGGGCTCAATACAGACCAACAGTTTCCAGGTCACAAATGCCATATGGTATTGTGGTTCAGGCAGGATGAGTTTCACCATTAAGTGGAGTTCCTAGAGCTTATCATCACAGATGTAGCTAGGTAACAACAAAAGAAGAGATACACTTCCTGCAGATGTTACCACATCTGAAAATCTTCACTCATAGGAAGCTATGTAAATGTTTTCAGATAGGAAAAAGTTGGAAGTGGTAGTGGTATTTTCAAAGTTTATTTGTTGTGGTTAGCTTATGTTACTACACACACACACACATATATTAATATGTCAAAAAGGCTAGTCGAACTCTTTGTATGTGTTCAACTTTTATTCCAACTGCGTATACAGGAAAATACCAAAATCTGGTATAATTTTACAATGGGGAGTACTAGAGAGAGTTGTATCTGATAACCTAAGTTCCCCATATCATGCTACAGAGTATTGATGTGGTTGTAATTGCAGTAATGGTTCCATAGAAAGAGGTCAGAAACTTGTAAAGCAGTCAACTGTTCCAGAACCAAGCACAGACCTAATGATTTATAGAGGTTGGCTGAGATGTGGGAGAATGTAAAGAAGCCAACCTCTATAAATCAGTAGGTCTGGTAGAGAGCATCAGGCAAGTGTAACCTCATGATACTCAATGTTTGTATGCAAAGACAGTTCCTATTTCCACAGATGTCAGAATGCCATCTTTGTGCAGTACATGGAAGGTGAGCAGATTTTTTTAAAATTTAGTTTTTAAGATTTTGGACAAATAGCACCCCTCATGTTACAGGTATCAATTAGTTAGCACTTAATAGACAGGCTTCAACTTGAATTACACCCTATGAAAAGCCTGGGTTTTGATTTACTGCAGGTGTGAGGTATGATTTGGTACTTAACTTCTCTTATTTGTGATTAAGATGTTATTACAATTATTTAATGACCACTTTAACAATAAATTTATATATTTACTTCCCATTTTTGTCTGACACCTAGAAAATATGTTTGATCTGAACAATACAACAGAATGTAAGGTTTTATTTCACTTATCAATCACTACTTGTGTCTGCATATCACCAAATGACAGCAGAAGAACTGGAAAAGAAGAATGATTCAGAATGAATTTTAAAGGTATTTTTTTTTTTGTTTAAGTACAAAGCAACACAACAGGCTGTCTATGCAGTGACCACAACAAGTATTGAAATATGATTTTCAGTGTTATAAGCCCTTAGACTTATTGCTGAGCTATAGGGGGACACTTTTAAAGGAGGCTACAGTGAAAGAGTCATAAATGAACCAACATTTGGGGTGTTAACATCCACAACAGTACATCCACTAATATCAGTCACCTGCCTAAAAGATTTATCTTTAGAGATCTGAAAAGATCTTGAGACACATTGTTTGCAACTATTCTATACCTGAAAAGAAATCTATTGCCATCCTGAGAAATTAGGTAAGTATTATTCCTTTAAAGGTGTAAATAGTTCTTCAGATATCTGTATACGATATTGGTAACATAATTATCAGGGTAGCTAATCATCCATACGTTAATGGACAAAAAAAGTCACATTTTAACCTTCTCTGTAAACCCATAAATAGCAAAAAAAAAAAGTTTTGTTTTAATGTTTTCAGTCAAGAAAAAAGGCCACATTGCTAATATCTCATCTTTTAATATTTTCAGGAAAACCATACATTTTGGTACAGAAAAAAAAGGACTAATTTTACAAAAATGCACACATATATTAAACTCAAATAGCAGGTGTGATGACATAATTTCAGGAGATAAATATATCAGAAAAAAAAAAATTGTTATTCACTTAATGAGAAAATATTCTATTGATTTTTAAATACATTTCGTGCTTTTGTTTTAATTACATCACATCAATTAATGATTCTAAACATTAATTCATTTGTAGTATCCCAAAAAATATGCAAGTGCTGAACAAAAAGTTTAATTTCAATAAGTATGATTAAAATGTTAAATCTAAAAAACAGAAGGTTTGTGGACATTCACGAGTTTCACTTGAACCTTTATGTCTAAACAAGTTTCTCTTTCTTGTTGAATCTGCTGACAAACATCTGCATTTTTCAGCTGTAAAACAATAAGCAGAAACATAGACCAAAACTAAATCATCTCTAACAATAAGCATAAGCACACCTAAAAGTGTATATAATATGTAAATTGTCATCTTGTATTTTAAAGGTCAGCTAATTATTTTCAAACAAACATTCTATATGCATAACCATATATATTTAAAAATTTTTTATATATCGAATACCTTTTGAAATCCATCTTTAATAATTTAGTATTAATCCTCAAAAAATCAAATATTCAACAAACAGTACAATCAATACTAATATACACTATTTTACCAATAATGCATCCAATATTTTCAGGAACAATTCTTCTAGTAATAACATGAAAATCACTTAGAAGATCATGTGAGGAAATATTAAAGATATCTTACCTCTAGTTCCTGATTTTCTTTTATTAAGTCTTCTAACATTTGTTGCAAATACTCCTCATCCTTTTCATAGTTAAAGAGCATGAATATGAAAGACAACTCAGGGAACAAAAGTGAATTATAATTATTTAGTGAATTTATAATTATTATAAATAATAAACATAACCTTAAAAATCATTGCACCATGTCCATTGTTTAATAAATACTTTATTGCTAAACCATTTAACAAAAGGATACAGTTTCACTACTGCTGTCAGTTTCTGAGCTACTGTTCTCAGATGACCCAAATGAGTACTGATGGTATCTTCAATATCACAATATTAAAACAGAAAAGAACAAAGTCATATTAAAGAAGCTAGTTTTTTATCATTGATACATTTACTGTTCATAATCACTGTAATGGTTGATTATCCAAAAATATCACTAAGTCATCAGTAGTGAGAAATGAAAGCCAGCTCCTATAATTAACACATATCATATTTTGAATGAAACATGTTTCAAATGCACAAATACTGATGATAAACATCAACTACAAAAAAACAGCATTTAAAATTCTACACCAGAATACTACATATGTGGTATTCTAAGCCTTAACTTTGTAAAACATTACAAAAGTTATATGTTCCTTACAAACTGGATGTTTGTGGACCTAGTATCCAGAAGGACAATTGTAGTGATTTGTTGCAGGTGTAAAGGAGACAAGACTTGGTGTGAAAACAGACAAGTAGAAAAAACATGTTATTAACAAAGGAAACTGAATAATAAGAGGCAAGCTGCTAGCCATCTATGTGGTATTTTATCCTGGATTTAGTTATGAACATAAAAGTAACTTGTATTTAAGTTAAAAATAAGCAGAAACTGTATATAGCAAATGTGAATCAAAATGAACTTGTAAATAGATATAAAACTAATGATGATGATGTACTCAAATAAAAAAAGGCATATGATCAGCAGATACAGAAAACCAAGATAAAATTTACACAGTAGGTCAGAAACAAATCTCTTTAAAATGACAAAACTGCATTTACATTCATAATTTCTTTGTAGCTCATCAATTGGAACACTCTCCACATGAAATTTGTGAAGGAGTCTACATAAAAAAGTCAATGAAGGACGAATACTACACAACTATCCTACAAACCAGCAGATGCATTTTGTGGTCAGAACCTACCACTACAGAAAGTAATGCCCAAGACTAATTTAACATATAGCCTCAGCCAAATATATTACGTCCAAATTAGAGCTTAAAACAAAATTTAAGTAAGAAATATATACTACAGGAGAGCAAAGTACATGGTATTTTGATATCAATACTCCCTTATCTTAGGCTTGTTTTCACACTGACATTAAATGCAATATCAGTTTAAAATCTTATACTGAATTCCACAGTAATGGCATGAAAATAGCAACCCTTGATCTGACTGGATACAAACAACAAAAAACAGCATGAGTGTCACAACATTACAATACACCACATGTGGATGAGACCAACAGACAAACATTCAAATAATTATATACATATTTACAAAATAAAATTTCAAATAAACTAGAGGAAAATTAAAAAGGGACTTTCCAAACACATATTTGAAAGAGATTATCCCTTTCGAGATGGGTCACGGGTGAAAGGCCATGTCATCTCATTTGTTGACTCGCATTCTAAATTTTATTGAAATACTATTTCATGAATTAATATCAATAACTTTGGTGTCAAACTGTAGATTATAATTCAAATTTTAGTACTATATATTACTCAATTCCCTTATTTAAAAGCAAATATTAAAAAAAAAACAGATAAACATAGATTTTTGACATGTGGTATGTTGAATGCAGCACTGGTTCAAATTAGATGTTTGTGAAGTCAAAATACTAAGTCTATAATTTCATATGAATTAGAAATGCA